CAAAAAATAAAAAAGAAATAAAAGTAAATATCAATAAATTGAAAAGAGCATGTAATCTTATGTGGCGCAAAAGTCAAAGGACTTGGATCAACAACAATTTCTGCGTGGATTGCACCCAATATCTCTCCTCATAATTGAACTTATGCCAAATTTTATATTTAAATTTCCTATTTTATTTGGGTTAGGATTTCTGTTTAAGCAATGAATTTTTATCCTATTATGACTAGCTTTCAGTTTGCTATAAATACCCCCATGTAGTTCTTTAAAATTTAGATTTGAATGTTGAGTAAACCTTTTCCTAGAACGCTCTGATTTCGTCCCTTTGTCTATATTTTCTTCTCCTCGACCTCCGATATTCTTCTTTGTTCTATTGTTTCTGCCCTTTGTCTCGTCTTTTTTATCTATATTTCTTCTCCTCGATCTCTTATGTTCTTCTCTGTTCGATTGTTAAGTGATTAATTTAATACCTACAAGCTGTTCTACATCAATTGGTATTCAGAGCCTCTTGCTTCGTTGCCTCTACTTGTCGTCATGGCTCCCAACATCACCATTGCCAATTTGGCTTAACAACATCATGAATTCAAGGTGAAAATTTCTGCGGATGTCACCAAATTGGAAAATCAGGTTGCCAAATTGATGGCTAATCAAAAGACTGAATTTTCGTCCATGTCAACAGATATTGCCAAGTTACAAGCTTCTGTGACGTTGCTCGTCAACCACAACTCCTAAGCCATCCTCCACATCCGATATTCTCTCCGGTTCGTTCACTTCTTCTCCACACGCTGGGCTCCTTCCTAATCCGTCTATGGATTCCAAGTTCCAAGGCCAACTGGGCCTTCCATCATCTTCTGCGGGGACGTCTATGGTTCGGTCCGAACCAATTTTTTCCGCGAGATCTGCACCTAAACCACATTATACCCAACATACGATAAGTTCTCCTCTGGTGGATGCCACTATCCCTCCCCCGCCGCCCCGACCCAATGAACAGAACGTCGTCCATAGAAACTTGGGTTTGAGATCGCCGTCATACCAAGCCTACCGCTCTCAACTTCGATGGTCGCGGGGATCCTACTCTCTTTGTTGATTGAATATCGGCTATGGAAGATTATTTTGAATGGTATGATATGTCTGATGCACAACGGATCCGGTTTTCCAAACTCAAATTAGAAGGAGCAGCAAAGCAATACTTGAAGGCTACCGAGCACCATCTTCCACAACTCGAACAAACCCCTTTGATTTTATGGGATGAGATGAAATTCAAACTCCGAGAACAATACCTTCCATCTTTTAATCGTCACCAATTGTTAGATCAATTATGAACTCTTTCCCAAGGTACTTCAACAGTCCAAGATTATTATTCCCACTTTGTGGAACACAAATTGCGTTCTGTCATGCAGGAAGAGCTCGCAGTTACAGTTTCTTGTTTTATTTATGGCCTTAAAGATGATCTCAAACACGAGGTAAGTAGGTCACGTCCGGATGTGTTGAAGGACGCCTATTGCCAAGCCTTGGAATCTGAGACATATTTGTCGCCACAACATTTAGGATATTCTAGTCAACTTGCAACCACCAACCAAACTCTTCCCACTACGGATATGCATACATGGTTTTCAGGACCATCTAACCCACCTACACCACCACCTAACAAAAGACCGGCTGTTTCTACTAATGCTCGCATCGAATGTTTCCATTGCCATACCAAAAGACATATTGCCTCTCGTTGTTCGCACTATCAACACTCTCACTAGTGAACTTTGTGAGATTGTGGAGCCTCTCGAAGGTGTCTATGATTCGAACATTGATGATTGCTGACCCTCGTCCCGTATTATTCATACTTGTAGTCGGCGTTGTCGTAATTAATTTACCTTTTATGGTTGTTTACTCGTCAGAGTCGAGTTCTTTTTGCCGGGAGAGAATGATGCAGGGCACGTAGGACCTAACTTTATTAGTTTCCTAATGTATTTGTTAGTTTCCTAGATTCTCTAGTTATCCAAATTCTAGTAGGATTTCTAATCTTAAGTTTCCTATTTTATTTGGGTTAGGATTTCTGTTTAAGCAAGAGATTTTTATCCTGTTATGTCTAGGTTTTAGTTTGCTATAAATACCCCTTGTAGTTCTTTAAAATTCAGATTTGAATGTTGAGTAAACCTTTTCCTAGAACTCTCTGATTTCGTCCCTTCGATCTATATTTTCTTCTCCTCGACCTCTGATATTCTTCTTTGTTCTACTGTTTCTGCCCTTTGTCTCGTCTTTTCGATCTATATTTCTTCTCCTTGATCTCTTAATTCTTCTCTGTTCGATTGTTAAGTGATTAATTTAATACCTACGGGATGTTCTACATCAGGTGTATTATGAGCAATGAGGTTCTTGTTGTCTAACACTCTATAACTCCCAGCATACAGAGTAAAGAGACAATTCAACGGGATGTTCTACATCAGGTGTATTATGAGCAATGAGGTTCTTGTTGTCTAACACTCTATAATTCCCAGCATACAGAGTAAAGAGACAATTCAAGGCACCATAAAGAGAAGGGATAAACAATCTTCTCTGAGATGAAAATAGTGCATGTGTTGCACATTGTCCTCTTGAATTGAGTATTGAAATATTTACAGAGATGAAGAATCGACAGACTTTAAGCAAACAACTGAATACCAAAAGCTGGAAGATCAAGTGGCTTTATTATCAGAATTATAGAAGCAAAATCCAAGACAGACAAAAATTCCATTAAGAAATGACCACCACCCAGAAATACACTTTCGTTGACGTTTGCAAGTGTTCCTTGTCCATAAACCCTAATATACGATAACATACTTTAGAAGTATTGATGACTTGTAAGTCAGCGAGACCATTGCGAAAATAAAGCACTCAAGAAAAGAGACTAAAATGAACGGAGACAACCATTTCCTAGGTTTGTGCGATCTTCCATCGTACTCAGTTCATCAATGGGGAAATCCTGTTTGTTGTGCATACCCACACATATATGCATAATGTGTAAGAACAAAAAAATTGAACTACCAATCATATTCAAACATTACTCTCATTCACCAATGCATCATAATTTCTGTAATGCAATATAAACCCTTTATTCAACATGATACAAAAAACAAACAAAGAAAATAACAGCAGACCTAGAAATGTATCGTCAACATCTATCTAGCCCATATCAAATGCCAAGGATACACAACAGCGCCAGGCAAATACTGGAAACAACTACCGTGTTTGCAAAATTTAGTTATAGAGTAACTATGGAGAGTTGTCAAAGGCATTTACAACAAGGATAGCAAAATGAACCTCGAATTCTCCCTCTACTCCATCAGCTGCAGCTCACGAGTGCATATCTATACTTACTGCTTCACCCACTGCCTCTCACAAAATTCCTCAATGCTGCGACCACTGAATATTCTTAATATCAATTCCATCCTTCACCATCTCATAAAGCGGGCTCATATCCCTCAACTTCTTCACCTGCTGTACCGTCAGCTGAACTGCCCGGTCAATCTCTGCCTCCGTGGTGAACCGTCCAATCCCGAACCTAATCGAAGTATGGGCCATGTCCTCATCCACCCCCAAAGCCCTCAACACATACGAAGGCTCCAAACTCGCACTAGTACAGGCACTCCCACTCGACACGGCCACCTCCTTCAACCCCATTAACAAGCTCTCCCCTTCCACGTAAGCAAACGACAGATTCAAATTCCCAGGATAGCGTCTCTCGGTGCTACCATTCACCACAACAAAATCAAGCTTTTCCCTAATCCCATTCAGCATTCGTTCCTGCAACTCTGTTATCCTCTTCTGATCATACTCCATCTCCTTCTTCGCAATCTCACACGCCGAACCAAACCCTACAACCAATGGCGTGGGCACGGTGCCACTTCGAATCCCCCTCTCTTGCCCACCTCCATTCATTTGGGGCTCCACCCGAATTCTAGGCCGCCGCCTCATATACAGAGCTCCAACCCCTTTCGGCCCATAAACCTTGTGCCCAGAAAGCGACATCAAACTCACATTCCATTTGTCCACTTCGATTGGGATCTTCCCAAGGGCCTGAGCAGCGTCGGTATGGAAAGGAATTTTGAATTCCTTGCAAATTTCCCCAATTTCCTCCATCGGCTGAATAACCCCAATCTCATTGTTCACCGCCATGACCGATACGAGCCCGGTATCGGGCCGAATCGCAGCGCGAAGCTCGTCGAGGTCTATAAGCCCATCGGACTTCACTGGAAGGTAGGTGACATCAAAACCTTCCTGCTGAAGATGACGGCATGAATCCAGAACGCACTTGTGCTCGGTCTGGGTGGTGATGACGTGGCGCTTCTTGTCCTTGTAGAAGTGCATGACGCCCTTGACGGAGATGTTGTTGCACTCGGTGGCGCCCGAGGTGAAGACGATTTCTTTGGGGGAGGCGCCGATTAAATCGGCGATCTGGGCGCGGGCGGTTTCGACGGCCGAGTCGGACTCCCAGCCGTACATGTGGGTCCGGGAGTGGGGGTTGCCGTAGCGGGTGAGGTAGTAGGGGAGCATGGCGTCGACGACCCTGGGGTCCACCGGCGACGTGGCCTGCATGTCCAGGTACAGAGGCCTTCCGGAGATTTTGACGCCTTTCATTGAAATTCCATCTGTGTCCTCGTAGGGTTCGGCTACGGCGGCGGCGGTAGAGAGGGCACGGGCCAGGTGAGAGGCGGTTGATGTGGGTTTAGGGGTTAGGGTTTGGCGGAGAGTGGAAGCCAGAAGCTTCGAAGCCATTTTTTGGGGGTTTTTGCTTGGTTTGGTGGTGTTGTGATGAAGGCGCAAAGGGGAGAAAAGGATCACATTTTAGAGTTAGAAATTAAAGTCACCATTCTTCGATCTGGAGAAGGACACGTGGCAGCTTGTAAACCCTGTATAAGCTGAGGAAACGACGTCGTAAAGTGTATAGAGAAAGTTGAAGCTGTAAAGTGACCAGATTTGGGACACGTCCACTTGCCCTAAATAAATCACGCAAGCCAGGTGGTGTTTCCTTTTTATCAAATTGTGAAGGAAAGGAAAGGATAGCAAACCCACTCTCTCTCTCCCTCTCTCTCCGTCACTATAACTTATTGGTTACATTGTCTCTATCCTTTAATCAGAGTTCAAAGTTCCAACTTCCATTACCAGATTCCAGATCCAAATCTAGGTGGGAAGAAGAAACATTGAAGGCTCTCCAATAAAACAATTGCTCTGATCTTGCATTTGTGTTGAGTTTCCATGGCTATGTGTATCTAAGTATATCTACCAACATTTCCAGTTTCTGCCATATTTCATTTTTGGTAACTTACCTACCTACACCAGAGAGAAAAAAGGTTCACTTTTTGTCATTGCCAGAATCCAACGGCCTCCAACACTCTCTGGTATGTCTCTCTCTCTCTCATGAGCATTCCTTCTTTTTTACTTTGTGAAATTTCACAAATGTTGCTGCATGCAATCAGATTGGGTGGTTTGCTGTAAGAGCATGTTCAGATCTGGGTTTATTTTTTCAATGTCTTAGAATTTTGCTTTGTTTTTTTTTTCTTTCAGTTTCTTTTGTTTCCCATTCTGATATCTACTCTAGTTGAACTGGGTTGGCTTTGTAATGTGAAAAAGAAAATTGATTTTGTTACATAGTGATGAAATCCGAGTGGGCTTCCTTCAGAATTTGGAAACTCTCATTGGTGATAACAACGTGAATAGCTTCCCATGTGAAAATGGATGACATTGATATATGGGGTTGCTTATTGGGTTCTAGTCTAGTTGAATTCAGGGTTCCTGTCTAAGCACAATGCTGATATTTGGTTGGATCCGTAGGGATGGATTCACATATTTACTACTATACATTCACAATTTTTTTTTCTTCATCAGTTTCCAATGAACTTCTATTTGTTGTACTGAGATTTTATGAAACTATTTTTACCTATTTTCAGCTTATGATTTGATGACACTAAGAAGAATTCGGTTTTAGTTTCCCCTTCTTTGAATACGGGTCGAGGAATTTAACAGAAGTAGAACTTTTATGCAGGTGTTGTAAAGAAAATATTTTTGTTGAGCCTTAAAGAGATTAGGCATGTTCAAGTTATCTCCTCGAAGGAACCCGAGATCTAAAGGTTTCAAGGTAAAACATGCTTTACAGCTATTTCTTTTGGCGGGTGTCTGCATCTGGCTAGCTTACCAAGTCAAGCAGTCTCATGGTAAGAAAGCAGAATTCAGGAAAAGCATAAAAGATGGGGATCAAATTGTTAAGTTAGGAAGAAAGGACCTCAAGCCTCTTGTGGAGGGTGTCAATAGCAATGCAAGGGAAAAGGAGGAGGAAGAAGAAAACAGGAATGAAGAAGAAAACAAGCCTGAAGAGATCGATAATGTAGGGAGAGGCACTGGAGACGATGGGATAAATGAAAATGATGAAAATAAAATTGAAGAAAAAACAGATGATAATGTTGTTTCAGTAGAAGGAGAGAAAGAAAGGGACAAGGGCAAGGAGAATGAAAATGAAGAGAGCAAAGAGGATGAAAACGCCCAGAAGAAGAATGAAGACGACAAAGCCAAGGAGAGTGAGGAAAGCAGTGAGAAGGAAACTGAAGAGACCAAAGAGAAAGAAAGTGAAGAGAAGGAGAATGTAGAGACCAATGAGAAAGAAAGTGAACAGAAGGAGCATGAAGAGACCAATGAGAAAGAAAGTGAACAGAAGGAACATGAAGAGACCAATGAGAAAGAAAGTGAACAGAAGGAGCATGAAGAGACCAAAGATAAAGAAGGTGAACAGAAGGAGAATGAGATCAAAGAGAAAGAAGTTGAACAGAAGGAGAATGAAGAGGCCAAAGAGAAAGAAGGTGAACAAAAGGAGAGTGAGGAGACCAAAGAGAAAGAAGGTGAACAGAAGGAGAGCGAAGAGACCAAAGAGAAAGAAAGTGAACAGAAGGATAATGAAGAGACCAAAGAGGACGGAAGTGAGGAGAAAAGAACATCAGAGGAGGGTCAGGGAGTGGATAATAAAGAGGGGGAAGAACACATTGAGACAGATAATAAAGAAAACGAGGCTGAAGAGAAGGAAGGTGATAAGATTGAGCAACTAATTTTATCTGATGATCGGGTTCGAGATGGAGGTGAAAAAAATGATGAGGGGGCAAGAGAAGAGCCTTACAAGGCTGATGATGCTTCCAGTGCTGTGGCCCATGAAACTCAGAACGAGACAGCAAAAAATGGACAAGATGGTGGTAACGAGAGTAATCACTCAGAACCAGCTAATGGTTCCACGCCTAACTCAACTGAGCAGGAGAAAGTCGATGCTAAGAAAGAGGACTCTGCACAGAAAAATGTTGTATTAGAGCAACCCGAGAAATCTGATGTACCTGCCAACAGCGAGCAACAAGACTCTAGCACCACAGCTTCCACTAAAACTGAGAATGGAGAGGCAACTAAGGGAATATCTACAGATACTTCTAGTAATTCTGAATCTGTTGTGTCGGAGAGTCAGATTGTCAACTCCAATACATCTACAGAAACAGAAAATAGTTCTGCACCTTTAGCCATGAGCATTGTTCAGACTCAAAAGTTCAGCAGTGACACTGAGGTAGAAGGGACACAGGAAAGTACACTATCTCAAAAAACTAACGACAATGAAGATGGTGGCCAAAAGCAACAAGCTGATTCTTCTAATCCTTCATTTCAACAAGAGAAAGATGCACCCTCAAACACAGATAACAAATCTGATGCAGGCCAGACTGTAAATGACAGTGCTGTTCCAAACAACACGAATGAAAACGCAAATGGCAACTACAACACAGATGCGGGACAGAAGGAATCAGTTGACTCTTCTGATTCTTCAGTATCCCAAGTCAAAGAGGAGTCTTCAAACACAAATAATAATGCGGAGGCTGGACAGAATGAGAATGAGAATGTTCTTCAAAGCAAGACCAATGACAATGCAGATGTAGGCCAAAAGGAAAATGAAGGTGCAAGCGGAGAAGAATCTGGTAATGTGCAGAAGAAGAGTGAAGATTCCTCGAACACAGACGAAAATACTAATGAGAGCCAGAATGTTACAGTTGATTCTTCACATTCTTCGATCCTTGAAGAAGAGAACGAGGCTCGTATAGACCTGGAAACTCTGCCAGAAAGCAAAATCGATACTCATACCAATGATGATACGGCTGCAGAGTAGAAATTGTAATAAGTTGATTGTTCATTCCGCGACCGTTTATATCATTTTGTTTTCATCTTTTTGTTCTGAGGTGATTAGGCAAAACTGTAAGGTTCGTTGCTCATTGTACTTGAAAAGTTGTAAGATCCAAGGTTTGAAATTACTCTTTCTTCGTCTGACCTGTCTCTTACTCTCTCTTCTTCTGAACAATGGCTTTCCCCAAAAGGATAACTGATTTTCCTTTATTGCTTGGTATAGCGAGAGAATGTGCTTAGATTTAGAACATCAAATATTACATCGATTCTTCCAAAGTTTTGAATTCCCTTTATTGTAGCTTCGATACTATGACGTTAACATGAACACGGTATTTCTCAACCAAAAAAAAATCATCAAAACCTTTCTTTAGGAAGAAAAAACAATTTAATCAATCAAGGATGAATGGACGTTAGGAACATAAAATAATTCAAATTTTCACAATCTACATTTCTTTTACTTTTATTACTGCTCTGAATTGGGAAAATGACACCAACCATGTGATATGAACAAACAAAAATTGGAACCGGGTTTATGGAGGAACCCTTCAACTCTTTGCCAACTCAACCAAAAATAGGCTCAAATTCACAACTGAACAACAGTACAATAGAACTGCAGCTAGACCCACTAAACTCACGTTAATAAGGTTTACTTCCTAGAAATTAGCTCTTATCCTAAGAGCTAACTCCACCTCCTCCTTTCTAGCATTTATCATAGCAAGCGTATAACAATTCAACAACCAAAAAACTTTCTATGGGGCAGGTTGGGGAACCGTTCCCAGATGAAGGCAAGGATGGGAATCCCCGAATTGAAGATTGTGGGCATGAAGGTGGGGTTGGCAAAAAAGCGCTTAATGGTGATGGGGTTGGAAAAAAAGCGCTTAATGGGGAAGGGGATGAGAATAGCATTCCCATTCAACACATTGCCATCTCTAATTATTAGGCATCTACTTGCCAAAACACAGAGTTATTATATAATAAATATCATCAACGTTTTGGATTATCTATTTGCATGTACTTGTCCACAAATTTTCTTCTAATATTTCATACAATATTTTCATCAGTTACAAGTTACAACCTATTTTCACTTAGGAAGGTGTGTGGCACATATTAATGGGTGTGAATAGAAAATGCCATAAGAATTCTCCACATTCCAAATCACACTAGATAGTTTACGCTAGAAAAGGTAAAAACAATATCTCATGATCTTATTTATGGGTTTCAATGTTTACATAAAAACATAACACAACTTGCCACAAGGATTTGATCCAGAATTCATAATGTGAAACAAGTGCAACAAATTCATATCCAAAGAAATCCACGGTTGTCTAACGAATCTGTCTAACATGAAAAACATGGACGAGAGTTATTCCAAATGGCTTCTCTTTGAAGTATCCCAAAAGCTAGCCTAGTGGTGCTCATGCTTCTTTTCAAAAAGACCGTTCGGACCTGAACACCAACAAAAAACATATCAGATATTCGAGCAATACTAAATCCAGGCAATTCTTCTTAATAAAAAACAAAAGCTCATTAACAAGTATAATGCAAAATAATTAAGCTTCAACATCACAATATCCACAAAACATAGATTTTAAAATCCAATGTAAACTTCCATCCAGAATCGATGCATTTTAAGACCTTAACCTTGGTGCCTACACTTCTCAGACATGGTAGGTTATCAACAATAATTTGGCCTAATAGCCGAAACCCAAAATGCAGCTGTAGCATTATTATCAACTGTTTGAGGTTAAATAAACCAATATGATATTACTTATCCGACTCATCTTTGGGAAAAGCAGTTTCAAAACGGAATAACTCGTATCTTTCCTTGTGCCCACAAACCCTCATCAACTTTTAAATTCCAGTTCTAGTATCAAAATCAACTCGTGGCCGCATCACACTCTCTAGGTACAACATTGGTCCTTGTAGAATACCAAAATGCATCTAAGGTCATGAAAACAATTAAAACATGCTCCCTCCGCTGCCTGAACTACTTAGAGTGCTGTTCTTCATGAGACATACTGATTAATAGTTAATGAGAACCAAAATAATGGCTAAGATCGAATCCATCATAGAGGATAAATATGCTGGAACACTCTATCCAATGTTTATTACATGAAACAACAATGAAAATCTAACCAATCTTTCTCAGAAAAGAAAACAGCGAGCATGTGAATTTGGACAACAGAAAAATTATTATAAATTTAGGGCCATCATGATGTTCAGAATCATACCCCATGGGAACTCCTTATTGCGGATGTGCAAATATGGGTACGGCTGCAAACATGATGAAAAAAAGGTAAAGGAATATAGCATACCAAGGAATGTGACATGCAAAAACTAATAGCAGAACAAATATTTAAAACAGAAAATACAGGTAAAGGTAGGCAGCTCCACATAGAGCAGCAAAATACAGAACAAAAAAAAATCCCAAGGCTTAAGAAGAAGCTCACAGGAGGCTCGTCGTAGTGAGGATGGGGCTTTGACAGGACAACAAACGCGAAAATAGTGCATGAAGCAATGCCTAAGTAAGTAATCTTCTCCCACTTGGCCGTCTCATCTGAAAAGGAGAAATAGAAAATAGGTGAACACAAAATTCAAAATCATTAAAACAATAGGCTGCGTCAATAGTATTACAAAACTTTGAATTTCACGTTACAAGCCAAGATAAATCTCAAGGTTTGAAATTCCATCAAATTCAAACAACCCGTAGATGAGATCCCAAAATTTATTTCATCTCATTATCACACATTTCCAAATCAATATGCACAAATCAATCAACTTTATTGAACAAAACATAAGATCAAAAAACCCAAACCTAAGGAACAATAGCGAAATCCCTAATATGCAACCATAGCTCCAATGTCAATTAAGCTATCAAATCAAAAATTGAAAACAAAATAAAAAGAAATAAAAAGAGGTCTTTGAAGATCAAAAACTAAATAAGCGCATAATTGCGAATGTATATGCCTGCGCGCCTGAGAGAGAGAGAGAGAGAGAGAGAGAGAGAGAGATTACGAGCATCGTCGTGAGCAGCAGAGGAGGAGAAGGAACGCTTTGGAGGAGCAGAGGATCGAGAGCCACCACGCAGGGCGGTTCGAAGGGCAGCAGATCGGACCATCGACATCGCCATTTCTTAGCAAAACTCTCTTTCGATCGACAAATGAAAATGTGAAACCCTTTTGCCCTTTGAATCAGAAATGTATAGAGGAAATAAGAAACTACAACTAGAAGCCCATTAACGAGGCCCATATTTCAAAGCCACACTTACACATCCATTTCTAATCACGGCCAGTTTACTATTTACAGCATGTTTCGATACCGCTTCTATAAAAAAATAGTTTTTGTTATAAAACTAGAGAATATGTAGGGAGAAATAAGAGGAAGAAAGAGACAGTATAATTTGCTCAAATCAACTTGTCTT